CCCAGCCCCAGGTGATGCTCTCGCTGTCCCAAACCCCATTCCTGTGCCCTGCCCGCGAGGCTGTGGGCTCCTCCAGCAAGAGCGGCCCAAGGGGCAGTGGCTCAACGCAGGTACAGCACTAGGTAATGGCTTACCTTGCTCAGTTCCCTGTTCTTCCTTGTGCGAAGAGGGTTAACATGGGCTCAGCCTTCCCTCCCGCGGACAGGGCTCAGCCCGCACCCCTGTGTTGGCTGGCCTTTCGCTCTCACTAAATGATTAGTGACTCCTGGGCTGCCTCACACGCTGCAAGCCAGCGCCTGCATGCACCGTCCCGACCCGGTTAGCCTGACCTCTCCTTTCCCAGACACTTTCTACAAATGGCTCAACTGGGGATTAAGTTTAGCAGCCACCCACCAACACTGCTGCCCAGAGAAATTTCCATTTTTCTTACATGGAAAACTTAAAAAGAGAAGCAGCAGCACAACTTCCCCTGGCAGAGCAGCTGGGCTCCAGCAAGCCCCATTTCCCTGCCGATAACTCAGCAATATACCACGCTCCCACCCTGCAGCTGCTTGCGGGCGTGTGTTTGCAAGTCCCAAAACATCCGTTGGAGCCAAAGGGTGCATGCACCCCTTGGACCAGACTGCTTGCTGCTCGTGAAGCCTGCACCTTCCTGCCGCCTTCTGTGGAGAGGAGCTGCCTGGGAACAGCACCCACCCTGGCCTGCATGGGAGAGGGGCTGCGGCTGCCCACCGCCTCACCTGGGTTATGCAACTGGAGGGGTAGTATGGCTTACTGGGACATGTAGTCTGGGGGGAATCGCATCTTTCTATGCATTGAATCGCGCTCCAGGCAGCCTCCTCCCAGGCCCAGTCTCTCTCCTTGCTGTTCAGGACATCAGTTCCCTGACCTTTCGGTGCAGGAGTTGCACTCCAGAACGTTGCTCCAGAGCAGGTCATGCTCTAAAGCTACCCCCTGCATTTCTGTCTGCCGGCGGACAGCGGGCCTGGCCCTCCCTCCCCCAGCAGCCCCC